CAATTGAAATAAATCAAATAAGACAAAAGTACTGAATTTTATAAACAAATTATGAACAAAATAGAGATAATCAAATTCCATTCAGTAATAACCCAGATCAGCATTGAAAATGTCATCGATTGAGTAATAACTTTTCTATATAAGTATATGTTTAATTTTGGTTTTGAAATTATTATAGGATAACTTCTTCAGATGTTAAAGGAACTTATTATAAAATCTAGGTGCGAAATAACTTAGAATATTTGTTCTTCGTTGATCGTATAAATTCAGAAGCTATGAGAGCTGCATTTCTTGTGTTATAATGATGAATGTCACTATGCATTTTAAAATATGTGTTGCCTGTCATGAATCCATAATAAGCATCGAAAAATATACCAAGAGGGTAGTGTCATGATTTTGTTTATCTTAAAGTAGGCCTTGACATCTGCTCGAAAACTAAGGCAATTTTTTTATTGGCCTTTGTTTGAAGGCCACAGTTTGGATCAGTATGGTAAATGTCCCCCAACAAGGATTCCATTTGTTGAACAGGAGTGTAAGACGCTAAAATAGGCACTCATACAGATTTCATGATTTGCAACATGCTGTAAATTTCGGAGATTTCTTTTTTTGTCTTTGGACAAGTATTGAATCTTTATCCTTTAGTAATTTTCAATCTGAAAATAAACCTAAAAATTGTACAGCCTGCTGCTCATCAATTAGTTGACTTTTAGTAAATGTACAGTTCTTTGTCTTATTTGCATTCAGACATAGTTGATTCACAGCAGTAAACTACTGTGATACTCTCAAATGTCCTTCGTGCATGTTAAACTGAAGAATGTTTAAATCCTTATTTCTATAGGCCAAGGTTGTATCGTCAGCATACAACACAGCACAACCATATAAAGTGAAAAGGATATGCCCCCTTACCGAGTCCTGTGGCACCCCCACGGTGACAGCACCTGCTTCAGAAAATGTATTTTTATAATAGTTACTATGAATTCTGTTATTCATGTAGGTTAATTCTGTTGATATGATGTGACATAAAAATGTGTCATTTCATGTGTAAATGAATATCAAACGTAGTTTTGAAATTATTGATGTGATGCTCATTTTTATTCTGAAAAAATAATAAATAATCTAGTGAAGAGGTGATGGTTAGAAGATGTACTTAAAAACAGATTATCTTGATGAAATTAGTTTTTGGTCTGTCAAAAATATGTAGATGAAAATGAAAATTTTGTTGGAGCCAGGTTTCTCAATAATTACTAGAAATTCATAAGATTGAAGTTTCAGATTTGATAAGGCGCTATAGAACTCGAAAAGAAACACTATTTGAAGAATTTAGGTTAAATCCTGACTATTGTCTTAGCCGTTGCTCATTATGCTATAGTACATTTATCCATCAAAGTTATTAAAAACATTATTTTGCCGAATTAAATTCAGATTGCATAATTCGACTTATACATATCGCATATGTGATGCTGGAAAAGTTTCTCATAGAAAAGTTTCAAATTCAGTTTCAATATATTGTAAAGGATTCAGGACGTACTCCCTGTTAACTTAAGAAAATATTTTCAAATAATTTTATATTTTTCAACAAGAGCAATAATTATTAACTATTGTTAGTAATTGAAGTATCACCTTGTATATTGAGAACTATTGGTATAATCTTGTATAAGTAAGCAAGTAGGTGTAAGTCACATGTGACATTCCAACTACAACTTGTCATTTTATTTTCCTAATTTAGTTTCATATCATCAATTTTTTTTTCATGTCATAAACTCCAATAATGTAGGAAACATTTGTCACAACATCTATATCATTGTGTGAGATGTACGAAAACTCCCCGAAAATTATATGTAAGTACCTAGTGACAATTGAATCAACCTCCCTCACTTTGATCATTCCAGTAAATGAAGAGTATTTGGATTTAAGAAAGTGCCCAGAAAATAATAAAATTAGTTCTAAAAAAAGCCTCGCAGAGTAAGTGATGTCTTGATGTTGAGCACACAAAAAGATACAATTCATGTATTGTTTTCAGAACTATAGCATCTCGAAGAAGAAACAGTGCTTCAATCCGAAAATCTGCTTTAAGAGCGGATGGTCTCAGATACGAAAAAGAGTAAGCAATTTTCTTCCCCCGATCCTAATGCAATGTTTGCCTGATATTAAATAAATGTTAGTGATGCTCGTTACAGGTTGATCAACTGCGGCTTGAAAAAGCTCGTAACCTCCTATAATGCCACTGCTAGTATGTATGAACGAAAAAACAGTCCTGCACCAAAGAGGAAGATTTCTTTGAGGGAGAACTCTATGTGCGATCCACGATTCCGTAGGTATAAAAAAAATGTTTCAGCTCGATTATTCCCTAATAACTCATTTCACATAGACTTGTAGTTCCTGAAGAAAAAGTTTGCCTGAAGTCGCAGTCTGAGCTTTCCATGTTGCCAAGAAAGTTGAACGTAGAGCCCAACTGTCCGAGCACCCCCGTATTTCAAAGGTATATGGTATTTCCTGAAATGACATGTTATTCACAGCGTTAGTTTGTAGCAAGAAAACCTCGAATATTGAAATTGGTGAGGAGTTAAGCAGGGTGGAACCCACAAAAAATAAATGTACGATGACCAAGAATGTTGAAGATTGTGAAAGTAAAGCACTGAGTCCGAGGGTTACGCATCAACGATCGAAGTCACGGGATTTTTACCGTTATATGAGGTAGGTTTATTTGTAAAAACGTACAAGATAGATATACTGTAGAATAGTTCAAAAATTTACAATGTGCTATATATCACAAACAGAGGATAATATCAAAAAATTATCAAAACCGTTTCTAAGTCAGGAAGGGGGAAATAAAATGACAAAAAAAAACTAGCTCTCATCAACCCTCTAGGCCCCATCCACCCCAACTGAAAAAAAAATAAAATAGCAGACCTCTACTTGTGATACATCATTGAAAAGTCTTTGAAAAATGCTCTCCAATGGTATAAATGATGGGTGTTGAAAATGAATTAAATAAAAACTTATCTTTTTTTCAAATGAAGTTGTGAACTGTAAACATTCATTTTTGGAGTTTTATACAGTCAATAATTCGTTCGTTCGAGACATTTAAAGAGGAAGATTAAAACTCAGTTTTAATATTCCTCTTCAATATGGTCACTTGGTGATTGAAACACGTGTCGAGGTGTTGAAAATAACGATTTGGTGTTGAGATTAAACTCCAGTAAAATTCACGTGTATAGTCTATACAAAGTCAATCCGAACAGCTAAATAAAAGACTAATGTACCTACCGTGTTTGATAAATTTACTAGTTAATCCCATATAAAACTTCCCACATATAAATAATGATTAGATAAAACATATACCACGCCGCCCATGCCATACAAAGAAACTGCCGATGTTTGGTAACTATTTTGTTTTTATGCCATTCGAATTGACTTCGTATATATTATACATCCGCGATTCAGTTTGAAGAAACGGAAACAGTGCAAAATAAAAAAAGGGATGGTTCAATATTGTTGAATGAAGCAAGCCAAATTGAGGTCATTGGACAATCGTTAAGAATCTTCAATGACAGGACTATCACGTGAGTCAGTAAGGAAAGTAAGTTTCACCCGTAAAAAACGCAAATCCTTCAAGAACTTTGCGATGATGATCCATACTCATGACTGAAAGAATTCGCTATGAAGCTAGACTATTAAAAAAAAATCGTTTCAGTGATGACTGTACTTTTATGCTGAAAGGTAAAGTAAATCAAGAAAACTGTCGGCACTAGAGCTTTGTTTTAGGGCAGAAATATTTATAGGCGATGCTTTAATTGTGTCTTTGGTTATACCAGTCAATTCTAGTAGTAAAATAATTATGCATGAATTAGAAAACCAACAGAACGATCAAAGCAATCTATCTCTAGACGAAGATTTGCTTCACCTCCTCACTATGCAGCTGCAGTATGGCTCTGTTTGGATACTAATTTAATCTGTTTTTGAAATCTGTTTTTCCGTTAATCAGCTGTCGCCCCCATACGAACGACAACTTGTGCGAGCTAAGGACTAACGAGGTCTTACCTTTCAACGTGTGATTCCTAACACGGTTGCAGAATCATCCCAGCTTCAACCAGATAAATTCTATCGAGAAAAATATCTGGTCGAGGCAGGAATCGAACCCACGTTCTTCCGATTGTGAGTCGGACGCACTACCACCGCGGCCAATTCCACAATTTTTCGAACAAATGGATTGGAAGGAGAGGTTCTATTGAGTGGACTCGAGGTCAGCAGATTTAACGTCATCTGATTTATTTCTATGATATTACTTCAAGTTAGTGGTTAGGGATTTACTTAGGTAATTATAGGAAAAGATTACTCAAGCATGTCGCGCTATTACCAGAACAACATTGGCCAATATTTGTGCAGAATTTGAAAATAGCCTGTATTATGTTTCAAAACAACGGAAACAACTTTGATCATATCATTGGTCAGAATTTCTTTTAATCCAAGTGACCGATCTAGGGACCTAGGTGACACCCTTGAGGGACACTTAATTTGACTAATATGACTCTGGATATGAAATTAATAACTCTATTACTTGCGTTCTCCGATTAGGATAATCTTCCACTTCCGAATTGGTCCTGATATGGCGAAGTAGCTGAGTTTATAAAGTACTAAGAGGCTTTCATCCACCTTGTGAAACACCTCAGAGCAATCAGTATAGTTGAATCTACCTGATGACCAGACCCCAAGGCATCAGACAGATTATCTAATTGGCTTAGCAGGTTGATTCGCCAGATTGAAATCTTCACTGCTCTTGAATTAATTTGTTAAATTCTGACAGGTGATCGAAAACTTTAGGTATGATACTCAGTACTGATGTAGGTGTATAATTCTTTATTGTCAGATGAACTAGCGATGAAAGAGGGCGAGATAGATCAAAACTGGAATATTTGGGAATAGAAGGGGTACTGAATCAGATCCAGAACCTTTTTTCGGATCAATTTATTCCCAACATTCCCTTTCAAAAGCATCTGGCAAATGCCTGCAGGTAAAACACTACTTCTCCAGTTTCTACAACGATGGACATTTGATTATGCAAGCCTCTTTACAAAGGTTTATATGGTTGAGCTTCCCTGGACTCTCTACAAACGTGGTTGGATCAGTCCTGCACTGACGAGGGGTTGCACACCAAAATCGAACTGTTAGTGATCACTTGAATGATTTCAGTTAGGTCCTGCTGCTTGACGAACAGGAAGCATCTACAAAAATTTCCTCTGTGAGTAATCTTGCACAAATATCTGTCGAATATAATGCAATGTCCATCGTCGTGGAATTAGCCAGAGAAGTAATTTTCCAGCAGTCATTTGCCAGAGCCTACTGTGTAAGAACGTTGGGAAAGGTGAATGTTTCGAATTATAAATGAAAATATTCATTTTGGTAATACTTGTGTCTCTCCTGGACACAGTCTTTATAATTATAATTACCTACTTCGATTTCTACATCATATTTTTCTATTGTAGTGCGAACAGTCCGGTAGAAAGTACTCTAGTGGCAACTCCTCTACAGCAATTGTAAGTTAAAAATGTTGATAGAAATAATTTTTGCTTCACACCCATTCCATTTATAGGAACAAGCCCACAGACCGATATGTTGATTGTAGACTACAAGAGAAGTACTCAGTGTTGAAAATGCCTTGGCGAAGGACGTGGACAATACCAGTATTCTCCCCCAAGAGTACTTCGACTTACAACAAACACGGAGGCGACAACTTCGATCGGCAAACGTATCTGTACGATGATGGAACAGAAATAGATTCTTCCTACATGGAAGGTCAAAATAAGCAGTTCTCCAATGGTAAGATGATTTCCTTTTCAGAAACTGTATTTTCATTTATCCTCTATATAAACATGAATTTAAACATCGAGATTTTCAATCATTAACAAACCATTGGTGTATTGAATTTCTTCAGAATATGATTCATCAATGAGGACTCTGTTCTGGTCTTCAATGCCTGCAAGCCATAAAAATTAATGGTTGTGCAAATGTGATCCGTCTTCTCGACAGATTATGTAATGAAGATTATTTCTCAGAGGAAATGAAAATTTTTATTCATTCTGTACACAAAATGGCAGTCATGATGGAGTAGTTAAGATGTCTCAAAAGGGATCGATGACATCAGATCAAAGTTATTAAAGATATTCAACATATTTTTCACAAAGAGTGCATTTTGGTTTGCCTAGATATAACGGTATGATATTTAGAAGGAAAGATTTCTTAAGAGCACTCATTATTTTCAGGCAAGTGAAAGAGAAAGTGAACCCAGGAGTTTCATAACTACTTTTCCTTTGTCTTCGATCGCTTGTCAGATACAGCTACCGGACTGAGTCATGGCCGGTAGGAGATATCGTATCTGAGTAAAGTTTGGGTTAGTGTATGAGGAAGAAAGTATTAAACTCCATCACTAACTGAATACGGTCCCTGAATTTGGATGTTTATGGCTCGACTAATCTAACAGACTGATAACATATTTCTACACATCTACTGACAATCTTCGGGGAAGGGCTTCTCACTGGCCATGACTCCGTCCGGCAGCTGTAGAGAAGTACTACACCTTAACTTATTTGAAAAGTTGCCAATAACTCTCATGTCCTTCGCTCCTTACACATTTGAATTTATCCACTTGTATGTACTCTACAGGTTTTTAGTGAATATATTACTAATTGGTGATTTAAAATTTGAATTATAACATGTGATAGAATTGGCCGACACTTGATGAAAATCCATAACATATTCAAGTACCACTTTATTGTGCAGTGAAACTCTCACAATAAACTCTCTATATCATGTACAATTCCTAATGAGTGAGTGAATCAACAACTTGTGCTTGAATTTAAATGAAACTCTTGAGAGCTAAGTTGAGGCGTGTGACCTACTTTCAACATGTTATCCCAAGATGAGTTGGGCGACGAAAGTTTTCATATTTTTTGGATCCAAACCTTCTGAAACAACACAATTAATTTCTTTGACTATTTAAATGGGATAAACTTACGGAAACTATTTTTTAGCAATCCAAAATCAGTGTGTTACCTTATTTCTGATCGGAGGAAGTGTATGCGGGATATTACTGGTATCGCTGTTGATATGGTTAGTATTCGGTCACAACTTGCTTCACTATTTATTCACGCCCAGAGAAACCGACCACAGCATGAAAGCACATATCAAATACGTAGCCGGAGGAATCATCAACCTAGTTACGACTTTTTTTCATGTGATCGGGACAGTATTGACAATACCAGTAAGTATCAACAATATTTCTTGAATTTTACAATTTTTTCAAGAAATAATAGTACTAGAAATACTTGTTTTTTACGATTTTCAATGAAGATATTCATAATTATCATGTTGCTTCTTTGAAGTGGGTATTTCAACTCAAAAGTCATCCTTACATAACCGAACTCTATATATTGTTTTGTAAAGAGGCTACAGTAATCAGTTCCGATGATTGCACTGTCTATTTGGTATCTATGAAGTATCAACATCAGATGAGCTGAAAATTAACCTCAAAAATATAGGTATGGAGGTAGTTCAATTTTCGATATAATAAACTACTTTAAATATTCCAAACTTGAGAATTATCAAAATTGGCAATAGAGAGTACAGGATCTATATGGTTTTTCACCGAAAATTCATTGAAAAATTTCAGAATGAACCATGTTTTTTAGAAAAAGTTATTAGTGACGTCGTTAAAAAATTAAGAAGGGCTGAAAGGGTCATAATTCGAAATAAGGGACACCCTATGGGAAAAAAATAGTTTCATGGAAATTGGTAACAAAAGACTGTATGCCAAATTTCTAGTTATTCAGAAATAATAAAACATTACTTAATGCCTTTATATCATGAACGAAGCCTTTTAAATGGATTTTTAAGTTTTCTACTCAGAATCATCCAATGAACATTTTGCATGTATTAGTTTAAATATTGAAGAAATGAATGTTTTTGGAAAAAAAATAAATAAGTCTAATGACTGTATCGAGGATATATATATCTCTCCCAAAGTTCTTACACAATACTTCATTTCGTCATTATTTTGTTTTCTTTTTTATACTATAATATTGTACCACTATATTGTATTGTAATTTTACTACTATAATGTACTGTGATTTTACTTCAATATTGCATTTTGTTTATTATTAGTAATGTGTATTTATTAAACTTTTTTTTTAACAAAATTGCACTGTGATTTTATCACTATATTATTCAAATCATCTAAAGGAGCAATTCGTTCAGGCCAGTCTCAACTCCCTACACTGTTGAAACCTATCAGAAATCAACTACTCCCCTGGCTGATAACACGGGCATTGGATTATATCCAACAGGTGTCAGTGCAGGATTCTTCACTGAAGTTATTCCTGCATATGCTATATTATTGTATTGCCATTTTATATTGTATTTATTATCTTTAATTTAGTTAGATTTTACAAACTCAACAAACTGTAATTGAGACTATCCATTGAATGAAATAAATAAACAATAGGATCTGGTAAATACTTGCCAGAAAACAACTACCCGACAGAAATTTAAGCAAGTTACCTCAGGATAATCTTGTAGATGATTCATAATTCAATGTCCGTAATGATATTAACAGGGAAAGAAGTTGTTTTTCCGGCAGGCATGTACCTGACTTACTTTGTGAAAACGCTAAAAGAGATTAATGTCATTTTGAATATGATTTTATGAATATTGAAGAAAAGAGAAATGAAACTTTCTATGTTTTTTACCACTTTCATTTGTAACTAACGTTACTGCACTTTCGTTCTTTGTTCAAGTTTATACATTTTTTTTAAGTTTAAGTTTCCACCGATATTCATTAATTGATGATAAATTTATGCACACTTGATTAGCAAGTAACAATTAGGAAGTGACAATTATCGATTATAAGTTTAATTCCTCAAGTGAACACGTTTTTTAATGAAAAATTAACAATTATCAAGTAACAAGTTGAAGTCGGACAACTTTCTTACCTAATGTAAGAAACCACTATCGACATGGGTGGAAATAAAACGTGGGGCTCGAGAGGTTGGATGGAAACTCGAGCGAGCCAGGCGAGAGTATTGTTATTTATTTAGTTGTTTTATATCCAGATCAGAAATGATGCGATGGTTTAATCGTAAAATTCAATTGTAATTGATGTATCTTTGGGTGAAATATATTTATACGATTCATCTAGTGCGCATATGATTGCTGATTAGCCCATTTCACACACCTAATAATTTTCAAATTTCAAAAAATTGTAGCTAGTGTTCTGTATAGTTTCATTTCTTGAATAATTTGTTTCTATAACTGCTGAAAGGGAAATTGATGCTTACCTAGTGACAATTGAATCAACCTCCCTCACTTTGATCATTCCAGTAAATGAAGAGTATTTGGATTTAAGAAAGTGCCCAGAAAATAATAAAATTTCCAAAACAAGCCCTTTTCCCAGTCACCAGAAATGCGATACTCTTCTGAACGCGCGCTTGACTAACCACGTTGGCGTCTCCAAGGGATGAAGTTTTCTTCATATGTCAATTTGGTTGGGAAAACGCTCGTTAAGAGTATTGCATTTCTGGTGATTGCAAAAGGTGCAGTGGTTCTAACAAGTTACCATTCTATTGTAAAGCTCCCCAAAATGGGATCAAGCAAATTTGACCGTGATGTCACGTCATGGCAAAAATCCCTTAGTTATTGTAGATCAGACCCTGACATTTGAGGAGTTGTTTCCTGTGGTAATTCAAGTAAAAGCCTTGTTGAACTCAAGGCCCCTCTACCGCCTCGGTTGTCATCCCAACGATGACTCAGTACTTACTCCAGAGCATTTTTCAACTCTAGCACTTCTCAATTTAGTACCAGAACCTAATGAAGGTGGCAACTGGTGCAACACCTTCAACAGACCTTTGGGGAGAAATGGCACAAGAAATATCTGCATACTCTTCTGCAACACAGTAAATGGCTTGCACCGTCTATCCCAACAGAACTTGCAAATGTTTGTCATTCATACAGCAGCGGGCTCATGCTGAATTCATTCGAGTAGATCACCTACAGACCAGTTCCTAGGTAGTACCTTTCATCAGTGCAGGAAAGATCTGACCAAAACAGCAGAGTGTCTGGAACTCGAATAATTTCAACACATTTTGACTGCTTGTATGAAAGATCGAAAGATCTAATCGTACCAAACGCTCATAGAACTTCTTTGTATGAAAAAAGCGTAGAGTACAGTGGGTGTACATTATACAATATGCTTCCAATAGCTCTTAAAAATTCCCCAAATATTAATGTGTTCAAAAGTCAGCTGAAAAAAATGCTACTTCAAAGGACTTGTTACACCATTCAAGAATTCACCAATCAACTAACCTGAGATCTTGAGCTTTAGCACACTTGGTTAAAGTGTTCACTTTCAATACTTGAGAAATTGTGTGTTGATTATATTTTATTGGCTCTTTTGTAGTCTATAACTAGCTACATTTATATGTTACTTCTATTACTTATGTATGTTTATCACTGTTTGTGTTAGTGTGTTGTTTATATTATTTTGACTGATTTATAATATGGTTACATATTATTTGGACTGACTTTTATAAAATGGTTATATGTAGTTATTTACATTTATATGTTTTTACATTTACTTTTATAATTGACATTTTGTTTGTTTATTGTGCATTGATTTCTGTATACTGTACTTTTCAACCAAAGAAATAAATATTATTATTGTGATATATTGTCCTTAATTTGAAGGAAATAACAACAACAAAAATGATACACGAAGTGTCTAACACAACTAACTCTAAAACACAAAAACAGTTTGAAATATAAAAAATGACCTCGAATCCGTACAAGTACGCTGCCTTGTACAGTGTGTCATAAAAATATAAGAACATATATTACAGTTATTATAAGAGAAAGATTGTTAACAAGTAACAGCTCTATCTCGTGAATAAAGCCCCAAGCGGGGAAGACACATCCCATGTAATCAAAATAAGTTTGAATACTGTATCGAGGAGAAATAAATACATAGAAAAAAATTAAATCTTGAAATATTCACCACTCTCAACTACCTACACCGTAGGTTCTGGTAAATGCTTGCCGGAAAACAACTACTTCTTCGGCTAACACTACGCTGGATATTGAATTATATCCGACAGACATTTATGCAAGTACCTCACAGAAGTTAGTTTCGCAGATGTTTCTCATTCATCAACCAGCAGGACTGGTGGAGATGTAGTTGTTGGTAGTTAACAATCTTTCCCTTAGACAAAGGTTCCACACATGAAGTAGAACCAAGTTGAAACTAATCGAGTCCCAAGTACTTTGCTGTTTGGGTCGGATTTTTTCTGCACTTATGTAGGTGTGTAGGTGATCTACTCGAATTATTTTAGCATGGTCCTGCTGCTGGATGTACGAGAAATATCTGCGAGGTTAACCTCTGTGAGGTATCTCTGTAATGTCTCTCGGATATAATTCAATATCCAGCGTGGTATTAGCCAGGGAAGTGGTTGTTTTCCGCCTGGCATTTTTCTTATAGATAAGAAGGGGACCGAGGGAATCGCCCAAAAATACCTCTCCTGAAAGTGATTTTTGGACTCTAGCCTGGCCAGATATTATGTTGAATTGAGTCCCTCAGAGTTGGATCAGTTGTTCAAGTCATCTCACTATTTTATCCGGTACTGCAAGGCACCTAAACGAATGCAATCTAAGATCTTGCAATGTTGTATCAAATACCTTGCGGTAATCAATCCAGGCCATAGAGATACTATGCTTTCTATGATATCAATGAATTTTCACCGTTTTTATTTAATAAGTTCAAATTTCAATATTCTCTGCATTAGTCAGACAATACAAACTGAAACTCAAAAATCTCACAGTTGGAATCGAATAAATGTTCACTTAGTAGATGATTGAATGAGTAGAACAAACTACTCATGCTAAAATACCTTAAATTGATTTATTTTTCATAAGTAGGTATATTCCAAAATTCAATATCTTATATCAGTATGGGGTATGGCAACAAATTCATTATTGAAATCAGTTAAAAAACTTCAGAACAAAATTATAAGGTGTATATACAAGTTGAACTACAAGGAGACTACAGTCAACTTGTATAAACCAAAAAAACTATTAGATTTGTCATCCTTACATAAATTCAAATTATGTACCTTCATTCATTTGGCCAAAAATAAGCTCAAACATTCAAATTTGACTTTCAGAATCAATGGTGACCAACACACCCATTTGACAAGATATTCAGGCAATCTGAAAACAAAAAATGGGCAAAATTCGATTTATTATAAAGATATTGTTCTGATTTATCTCTTTTTTGTGTGTTCTGTTCGTACTTAGTTATGTTATAGTTAGTTTTTTTTTATTTCTGTTTTTTTTTCCTGCTATAAACATCTTGGGAAAATTAATTATTGTTAACCAACCAGCTATCCCCTGACTGGAATACACTGTTATCATTGAAAACAGCAATACACAAGATCAAAACCAATAACAATAATTAGATCATGACTTTATCTTGAGTTTCAAAAAATCCAACATAGAGAGTCAGCAACCTTAAAACTCACTGACTCACTAAAAATAGCAAAAGGTCTAACACTGTATCAATAAAAATGAAAATATGTTATGAATAGTTTTCGGACAATTTGATTAATATGTTTCCTCAACTGAATAATATTCCATGGTGGAATATTATTCAGTTGCAAAATGCAACTTGATTCCGACTGAACAGCATGCAGTCAGAAAGTTGAAATCTTTGACCATCATAGCCACAAATCTTATACCAACATTTTCAGTTAGTTGGATATGAAGGTCTTTGAAATCGGTAAAGCTTATTACTATTATCTATTTTGATTTTCTCTTCAGTTTCAGGTTCAACGAGATGCCTTCAGAGCAAACTGAAGCTCTTATAGGTATTGATAACGAGCATGAGGCTTGAACAGAGACGGCATCATTTGAAGTTTAAATGGAATCTTTTTATATACTATAAAAACCGACTGTGGTGCTTAATATCTATATATATGTGATCGTTACTGTTTGTTGATATTTGATTATTTTTCCTATTTAAAGATATTTGTGGAACAATTTATTTTTCTATTCTTTTTTTTTTTTGTTTTTTATTATAATTTTTCAATGTGATATTCGAAATATGTGAATTATTTACGTTGGTCATTCTAGATCTAATTGAGTGTTTTTGACTGTTCCTAGTATTTTTTAGCTTGGATGCTTGAGGTAAAGTCTGACTTGTATTCAAGCTGAAGCCTAGTTAGTTCGTTAATCACTGAAATAAAATTTTAGTCCAAATGATAGTACCAATAAATATTTTTTTATTTTCCAACCTCATACGTAAAAATCGGTGGTAGGGGCTGTATTTACTTTTGTGAATTGTTATTTTGGGTACATTTTTGTTGTCAAGCACTCTATATTCAGTAGTAGCAAACTCACCTGGTTTTTTTTTTCAATTAAAATAATCCTTTGTCTACCCCTTGTCTCCAAGAGGTCGAAGCACTGCTTTAACTGTAAACACAGTGTGATTCCGAAGTACCTATCGGTTGTATTTTGAGAAAAAAGCGCGTAGCTGGGCATTAATTAGACCAAAGGTTAGTGCCTTTCTTCCCCCTCATGGTCCTTAGTTTGATAACTAATGAAGTTGCTTCTCTTCCCTTCATTTCTGCTTAACCAAAATCAAAGTTTTTTTCTCAAGTACTAATTTAAAAAATTAGTACCTCTTGCGCTTTGTCGGTTAGAACCATATGGTTACTATTGTTGCGCAGAACAGAATCGGTACTGGCAAATTGCATTCTTTCAGGCAATAGCTGACTTCAAAAAATATTTTTCCACAAGGGCAACAAAATTTGTAAAACTAAAATTCACTAACCCAAAAAAACATAGATGTGTTCAAAATGATCAAAATTAAAAAGGTTGAAGATGGTGCTGTGACGGATTCCGCCCTTCATGACGATTTTTAATTTCGCTTTAGTAATATCGATGTGATCCGCTATAAGTTTAATAAAATTCATCTCGTTATGTGTTCTCATCTTAACAAAATGCTGATCTTAAACCACACAATACTGTCATAACAAAAATTGAAAATGATTTTATCACATACAAGCAATTTATATGAAGTTATCTAAAACAAATAAAAAGTAAAACTGGAATCTCTGGCGTGGAATAAATCCAAAACAAGCCCTTTTCCCAGTCACCAGAAATGCGATACTCTTCTGAACGCGCGCTTGACTAACCACGTTGGCGTCTCCAAGGGATGAAGTTTTCTTCATATGTCAACTTGGTTGGGAAAACGCGCTTCAAGAGTATTGCATTTCTGGTGATCGCAAAAGGTGCAGTGGTTCTAACAAGTTACCATTCTATTGTAAGGCTCCCCAAAATGGAATCAAGCAAATTTGACCGTGATGTCATGTCATGGCAAAAATCCCTTAGTTATTGTAAATCAGACCCTGACATTTGAGGAGTTGTTTCCTGTGGTCATTCAAGTAAAAGCCTTGTTGAACTCAAGGCCCCTCTACCGCCTCAGTTATCATCCCAACGATGACTCAGTACTTACTACAGAGCATTTTTCAACTCTAGCACTTCTCAATTTAGTACCAGAACTTAATGAAGGTGGCAACTGGTGCAACACCTTCAACAGAACTTTGGAGAGAAATGGCACAAGAAATATCTGCATACTCTTCTGCAACACAGTAAATGGCTTGCACCGTCTAGCCCAACAGAACTGGATAAAATAGTTCTTTTGAAAAAGGATCGTGATCCAGCAATAAAATTCCGCATTACGCAACTACACATGAACACTGATAGTATTAAAGAGTAGTATCAGTAAGATACTACTTGTCTCAAGGGACAATCCTAAGAAGATCAGTGACCAATTATTTGTTTGGTTTGAAAATTATTAGATTCATTTCAAACTATTCTCAGTATTTCCTTTTCACAAGTAGTTCTTAGAAAAAAATTATTTTATGGGTGATCGAACGTATTCTATTTTCACCAGTAGCAAACTCATCTGTTTTTTCAATTGAAATAATCCTTCACGTGCTCCTTATCTACAGAAGGTCGTAACGCCTACTTTAGTTACAATCCTGTAGAAAAAAATTCAAAAAGAAATGAAACAGAATAAATCCAAAGTACCTATCAGTAACATCAAGAGAAAAAACACAGATATGTAAGCGGCAGTTAGACCAAGGTAAGTATAATTCTTCCTCTTCTGGTGACATGTACCTTGATGAATGCAGCCCATTTATCTACGTGAACATTTTTGTTCAGTCATCTGATAATGGTTAGCGAAATGTGTGACAGTGGTTTTGTGCAGGTGTGGAAAAAATGTTTCCCTTACATTCATATTACGCCATAGGTTCTAATTTAACCTATCAAGAGAAGAGTCATTGAAACTAAAAATATTTGAATATGTAAAAAACGGATATGATAGCAAAAATAACAATAATAGTGCCAAATATCAGTAAAACTGTTCATTCCCAATATTAATTTGACAAAATGGTTTTCTCGTCAGACTTAATATTATAATGTAGCCAATGTAAAAAATATATCTGATGTGGGTACTAGTATTAGATAGATATTTATTTGTGCTTTTGATCATAAAGATTTTGCACACGTTAATAATGTGGTTACATAGTAAAATACATTTGAAGTAACATACAAATTACAATTGAAATAAATCAAATGAGACAAAAGTACTGAATTTTATAAACAAATTATGAACAAAATAGAGATAATCAAATTCCATTCAGTAATAACCCAGATCAGCATTGAAAATGTCATCGATTGAGTAATAACTTTTCTGTATAAGTATATGTTTAATTTTGGTTTTGAAATTATTATAGGATAACTTCTTCAGATGTTAAAGGAACTTATTATAAAATCTAGGTGCGAAATAACTTAAGAATATTTGTTCTTCGTTGATCGTATAAATTCAGGAGCTATGAGAGCTGCATTTCTTATGTTATAATGATGAATGTCACTATGCATTTTAAAATATATGTTGCCTGTCATGAATCCATAATAAGCATCGAAAAATATACCAAGAGGGTAGTGTCATGATTTTGTTTATCTTAAAGTAGGCCTTGACATCTGCTCGAAAACTAAGGCAATTTTTTTATTGGCCTTTGTTTGAAGGCCAAACAGTTTGGATCAGTATGGTAAATGTCCCCCAACAAGGATTCCATTTGTTGAACAGGAGTGTAAAACGATAAAATAGGCACTCATACAGATTTCATGATTTGCAACATGCTATAAATTTCGGAGATTTCTTTTTATATGTTTTGGATAAGTATTGAATTTCCCACATCCTTTTTTTGTAACAAGATGGAGTAGTAGAAAGCCAAAAACTTTCCCAAGAATTCTGGACTTTCTGAATTTTTTGTTTATAGTGTATTGTCAGATTCGGCCAATGAAGAGTATCTGCAAAATTCCATTGTGCTAGTACTAAGCTCTCACACATTTTTTTCAATTCCATTGGTAGGCAGTGCCTATTACCATATATCAGTAAGAGGGAGGCGTAGGCTCGTTGAATGAGTTTGCTGATGTTTTTCAAACCTTATATGAGAATCAAATAACAAGCCAAGGTTTCTGGCTTCATCAACAACATGAAGTGTATCTGCATTAATGTGAATTTCAACTGAATTGATGATTTTACTCCTATTGACTTTTGACCCGAAAATGCTGCTGTAAAAAGAGATATTAAAAAAGCGATATCTTAAATTGTTCAGATGCAGATGCAAAGAAAAATAACAATGGTTTCTAACTTGCAAATGAAATATTGTATAGACCTGATTTGAAAACATTTCAAAACAAGTAATCTACGGATGATAATAATAATCGTGACCTAATTCGAGAAAAAAAAACAGAACATAAGTGGAGCGTAATTTTATAAATTCATAATTCAATAACATCTGCCATTTTGTTTGATGATTGATTGTTCATGATCGTGTTTGAGAAAAATCTGCCCAAAGTTAGTTCACACTTTACTACAGGTGCCAAGTTTCTGCATGGCTGCACATAGTAATGTATTTTGAGCAGGCGTAAACTCTTCTCTAACTGTGATACAAGTACTCTTCTGATTGTTCCTCTTATATACAATATTTTCATAATAATTCGTGGTAAAACGAATAAATAACGGACGAGATTTCTGAGGATCATATTTACCTATACGATAACATTTCTCAACGTCGGAACTAGTTATAGTCAGGTTAACTTTCTGATTGAAAACTTCCAAACTACATTTTGAACTATCCTCATTCACATTTTTCGCTAACCCATAGAGTCTAATATTCTTAC